CTCCGGAATGCTCTCAGAATAGCTATAAATGTGGACCTCAAGATGTGACACCAATTTTCGTAACAGATCACAATTGGAGGCGGGCAATAATTGAAGGGAGGGATATGATCAATGTGTACCTCGGTCGAAGGTGCCCTTTGATTATTCGGGATGGCACGGGCCCGAAAGGCTGGAACGACCATACTCCCATTTTCTTCGGCCACTTTTTGTGTTCATGTTTCGGGAGTTTTGCCCCAGCGCTGTATGTCATCCCTCTGTGCCATCTGAAGATGAGATCTTCTCCGGAAAAATCTCAAATTCGGTATGCTCCTCTAAACCGCGCCAACCCATTCCTCTGATGGTTTCGAGCTCTATTTTTACCCTTGTGCTGTTTATCTTTCAATTACAATCTTAACATTGAAACTAGCCTTTTTATTGTAGTTGTACGGGCAACATGTCAATATTTTCGCATCAGTCAATCGTAGTAAACATGAAAAATGTCAATAAATCGCAGTAAACATGAAAAAAATGCCAGTAAATCAAAGTAAACATCAAAAAATGTCAGTAAATCATAGTAAGCAGCAAAAAGTGTCAGTAAAGTACAGTAAGCAGCGAAAATGTCAGTAAAGCATAGCAAACATAAAAAAATGAAAAAAAATTAAGAAAACCAGTGTATCAGTTCCGAGGTTGAAGGTGGAAGGAAATGATCGGTTGCAATAAATACAAACAAATAAACAAAAATATTCGACACCCACATAGAAATGTTAGCTCGTTCACTCTTGGCACATGACATTCCACATAGTTCATAGTAATGAACCATAATAAACATTGGGCATTCTTAGACCAAACAAGGTGACCTTTTTCACTGCTTGGCAGAGAGATGGCCACAAATAATTAATAATAATCAAAATAGGAACAAAAATAAACCAACATAGGTGAAGTAGGGAAGTCAATTACGGTAGGGATCCAAATGGTCTGCAGTCTAAGGGCTCGTTGAAGTTATCATCATTATCGTTTTCCATTGATCATGTTATGGTTCGAGTTAAAACGGCCTGCCATATGGACCTAAACAACCAAATTACAGTGGGCCAGAATATTTTGAAATATCTTTGTTCCCAGCTTATATACGGTACCATTTCAAAAAGTTAAAAACTCACGTCGACCATATCCAAGACCTGATGGCCTTAGTGGACGATGTACTGGAGGTCGTACATGATGGTGATGTACAACTCGTGGCCGTGGTCGCCCTATGCCTCCATAGGGAGGCCTGGGACGATATCCATATTGCGGAGCCGCTTCAGAGATCACTGACCAAGCCAACAACAGGAAGGCGAGCAGGACAGTGTGACGAAGCATTCTGGTGGCTCAGACCAGTAGGCAATACCGGCCTTCTCAATATGAATAGTGGCCCAGGTTGACGACAATAGAAGAGCGGATAACTCCCTTAAGTACCTCTCGATGACCTACTGACCAGATGACCCATGTGTGGATTAGGGATAGATTGAGCCTGAGTAATCTTGCCAGGGGCACTTTATGAGCTATCTGGTATAAGGATGGATTGTGATATGACGGCGGTCTTACCAGGGGTACTTTACGGCTCATCGAGATTAGTGGAGTCGCCTATCTGATGTGTGAGGTTGTTATTACAAGACCAAAGTAATCGGTGCTTCCTTGATTTACAGCTTATCTTTCCCGTTTTCACCCCAAATCCTTGAGAAAAAGGTCAGGATGTGGATGCCTTTCAATTGGGATTTCTAATCATCTACGTATCTCTGCTTTCGTAATGACCCGCCGCTGCTCCTGGCTTAAGTATCATGGGAAATCATGTGGAAGAATGGAAGAATTTGATAAACCATAACAGAATGCCAAGCAAAACAAAAAGTTAGTCGTCGACATTCTGCTTACGGTAGCTTACAGTGTACTGCCCTGTAAAGTAGAAAGTGACCACAGATGTTAAGGTGAACATCTATGCAAGAAGAAATCAGGCTTCGTTGTTTTGAAGCAGTGATCTTGATCTGTTTGAGGAAGCTCCATACGTGTAGGCTTTAATATTCAGAAGTAAGGGCTACTATCATTGCAATGTTAGCTCTATGGAGGTTATGACCCTCTGGCTCTAGGGCTCTGAGAGAACGAGAAAGCAATAAATGACACGTAATTTTTGCAAAAAATTCTATTTTTGTAGAAAGGCCTTCCCGTCTATTGAAGGCATCGGTTCGGCATAGGTAAAGCCGAGGTATAAGCCGGTTTAACCTACATATTCAGGCGATGAGTGATTTGAAGATAGGGTTCGGGGTTCCTAATCAAATCTGCTTGCACTAATGTGTAGAAATAGAATTCTATATCATGACGCTATTATTTACTTGTTCTTGCTCTTCATCAAAAAGCTTAGAACTTGCTTACTGTTATAATATTTGGAGTTATACAGGGAAGAATTCTCGGATTTGTCAGATCATACAGTACCCCTGAACTTTTTCAGTCCTTTCTGATTTTTTATTTTACAATTAACTCCATCCTACGCTATATATGATTACGAGCATAGGTGATTGCGGTCATTACTAATCAAGTTTTGAATGATACCCATCATTCACTTATCGGTATGCGTCAGGCATTCGAAGTTTTTTGTAGAATTGCGGTCTACTTCAATGGCTATGCGCCACTTAATACAGACAGCAGCCTTCGACTAAATTTTTCTTCTATTTCTCTATCCAAACTCTTCAAAGAGCGTCTAGGTCTACTCAGTCAATCTACTGATGATGGAAGCTTCGATGGGTTTCTGCAGGATTGGATCTCATGGCAGTGCTTACGCAATAAGCGATCCCTTGATCATCCCTGTCTGTGTTGCGAAAGTGAATAGAACTGGCTGGCTACGTCTCGTATAGCTCATTTTAGACAGAGTTACTTAGAGTATAGGAAAATCAGGAGACTTTTTCACTCGGCTTAGGATGGGTTTTATGCCGGTTCTCTTTGAGCTCACGATGCCGAGATAATCATAAAAACACTATAGGGTCGCATTTTTCTGGGTTGTTTGTTCGTGGCATGCCTCCTTTTTATCAAATTTCGCTGAGGCTGTCCCATATATTCTGCTGCTGAATTACTGGGTTGAGACTCGATGTAGAAAAGCTTTGCTCGTGCACTGATGTCTACATACTTATAGGACCGAGATGCGAAAAGCTTAGCTGGCCTTACAGGGATTCCATCCAAGAGGCAATAAGTGAAAGAGTCGTATTTAGCAACGATCATCATAAATGAGGACGGTAAAAAGAATAGTATCGAAAAGGTTTCCAATTGCTCAGCCCACCATGCACACTGAAAACCCACATCTGTGCGCATACCATAAATTCATGAGTCCTCACTTTTGCATAGCTCAACTCTTGACTGTTTTGTTTGCACCTTCTTTCGGAGAATTCCAATCGACCTGCTTTATTGTTAGTATTACTGCCTATCAACTTTGGTACACGACACATGTGGCAATAGCACAAACTTATAATTTAAACTAACATTAAGGCCATAGATCGGCTAAAGAACAACGCTTCCTACCATGTTGTCCAATAAAACGAAGACTGCTGTCTGTATTGGGGGGCACACAGCCATTGAAGTAATGCATCAGAAAACTTCAGATGCATTGCGCTTGCCAAAAAGTTAATGATGTAGTTATTTGGTACTTAATTAGTACTGACTGCAACCACCTATGCTCTTATTCATATATAGTGTAGGATCCAATTATTTGTAAAATTAAAAATCAGAAGACTTAAGAGTTCAGGGATACTTTCTGATCTAACATCTAGACGACCGCCCTAACTAGTATGGACTACCCTTGTTATGCCGAAGGTGTAGTCTAACACAACTTGCTTGACTCGCTCTGCTAACTGGACTGAAACCTTTGCAAGATACGCCGTGCAGTCGATTTTCACCCAAAATAATCATGGCAGCTGAACTTGCATCTGGACGATGTTATGAATTGTATGAACTGTGCCGATGTAGGAGCTGGCAACCACATCAATTGTAGTCTTAGTTGAACAATTATAACAACACTCTGTCGAATCATATGATAGAATGATTAGTAGCTTTAGGTTGGATTCAATCCCAAATGAATCCTAGTCTTGGTCACCATACCTTTTGCCATTGCCCTTTGGCTGTCCAAATTCTTTCCGTACTATACATCCAGGTAGTTCACTGAAAACCATTTGTTTTAAAATGCTATTGGATCTACCGTCCACAGATAGGAACTTGAACTGGGTTGTGGATCAGATGCCATACTCCTTTGCAAGTTGTAGTCTATGAGGTCCCTGTATTCTCAACCACGTCTCAAGGGGTTTCACGTTCTATTTCCCCTTTTCGGCTTATTACATACATTGATACATTCTTACAACTTTTTGAATTTTTATTCCAATAGCGTGCATCTATTTTCAAACGAGAAAAGTATGGGAATCGGTAAGAAAAAAAGGGTTTGAGCATTGTTATTCAAATTCATTTCCTAAACGCTGAGTACTGTGTTGTTAGAAGTTGGACGAGGTGATTCAAATACAATAGTCACAATTAAATAAATCAATTTAAATAATATTCAACATACACATAGAGAGGATAGTTCGTTCACTATGTTGCACAGATTTTTTTCTGATCCATAGTTATAACAATACTAATAAATACCCATTTTGGTCAACAATAATGATCAATAGACATTTTGAGTCAAATAAGAGGAGATTACTCACTGTGTGGCAGAGGAATGGTCACAAATTGCTAATAATAAACAAAATACAATTAAATATAACTCAACATAGCCAAAGTGGGGAAGTTAGTTGGTGCGAGGAAAAATTAGCAATGGTTTCTCGTTGAAGAGATTGTAGCATAAGCTCTGAATAAGTAATCTGCAAGGAAAGGCATCGTGGAAGTTGTGATTGTGGGTGAAATCCGCTGACGATGTCGGAGTTGAGTTAGAACGGCCTGCCATGTAGACCTAAAAGAGGAACTTGTAGATGACTAGAATGCTTTGCAATATCTATGGTACCAGCTCATGGCCTTCATCAAACGGTAAAAAACTCACGTCGGCCAAATACTGGGGCTGGTGGACGAGGCGGAGGAGGTCTCACGTGATGATGATGTACAACAGGCTTTGGTCGCCCTATTCCTCCCATGGGCCTCCTGAGATGATGTCCAGGTGGAGCCGCTTCAGATAGCGACAACAAGGCCATCAACAGGAAGGCGAGTAGAACGGGATTGCGAAGAATTATGGTCATCTGAACAGGACAACTAGGAAGTAGCGGACTGGTGAAAGAGTTGATCAGAGTGAAGATGAGAGTAAAGCAGATAACTCGCTTAAATACCTCTCGATGACCTACTGACCAGATGAGCGATGTGTGGATCTGGGATAGATTGGGCCTGGGTAATCTTGCCAGGAGCACTTTATGAGCTATCTGGTCTAAAGGTAGATTGTGACATGCCGACAGTCTCGCCAGGAGTACTTTACGGCTCGACGAGATACATGGAATTCCGTTTATCTGCTGTGCGGAGTTGTTCTTACAGGGTTTGAGTGATCACCATTTTTATTCGAATTTTTGAAGAAGAAATCGAGGGAGTGTCAAATCATTGGGTTGGTTTGCCGTCTTACTTGCTTCTAGGTGAGAAGTGATCATTATAAGCGTCAAAAAGGACTTGTATTCTAACAATTTTTGGGACGTATGCGTTCTTCACCTCAATTTAGGATGTGAAGTCCAGCGAGCTTGCCTACTTCCTTTTCTAACTTTAGGCCTAGATGGAATGATAGGTACTCCAGACAAAGAGGTATTCATGATGTTTCACAGTGCTTTCTCACTCACTTCATTCACTCTCCTAGTATACGCCATGTATTCAAAGTTCATTGTTGAATTCCTAGCCCACTTGAAGAGGCAGGTGTGTGTCTTCCAATATACAGTAGCGCTCAAAAGTCTTCGGTGAAATGCTTTGGCGCTTTTCTGCTCATAACTTTTTTCTTAGTGGACCAAATCGCGCAAAATTTGGATATGTTTAACTAGAGCATATTTCACCCTACCCAGCACTATTTGACTGCAAAGCTGCAATATCCACAGATAGGGCAAGGTGTTTGTTGCGGTAGCAGATTTTGCTTGAAGTAAAGTTGTTGACTTCTCCACTTATCCGCACCTTATGTGCTTTTTTCTCATCTATTGTGTTAGGCATTACCGCTCGTACACTTTAGACATGACAAAAAGGAAAGAGATTCTAGAAGGACCATCATCTGTATTTCCCGTCGATTTTGAGTTCAAGCTCTTTGGAATATCTGGAATATGATCAGATTGCAGATTAATAGTGGTAAATATTCACAATACACCCACGCTCCAAATATAGAAATTTCGCATGATTAGATACAGTAGGAAAGGAGTTACGACTGAAAAGTACGGCTGAAGAATCATTTCACCGAAAACTTTTGAGCGCTACTGTAGACAGTAATTTTCAACTGATATTTCAATATTCTATGCCTCTATTCAAGATTTTATCTAAAAACTAGTTTGACTTGATCAGCACACTTGTAAAGGGAGGCTGTTTCTGCGGGCTGGATTTCAGGGATGGTGCAAATGTCACGCCCAAACCCTTACCCTCGCTTTTAATACGAGGAGAAAACAGAACTGATTGGGTTGAACCTCACTTAATTTCATTTGGGCAGAATTTGTCTAAATATGGAAAAGTAAAAAGTCATTCCCATTCATCCCACCATGGATTCTACTCTGTGTTTTTATTAACCCCCAAAATGTGATAAGGTTAAAAAGCAGGATAATGCCAACATCAAGTGGACAGAAGAACACGCAGCATGCCTATGATTTCCATCCGACGTTGCTGAGAGGGCTCAACGAAAACTAGTTTCTGTGTTGAATTGTAAGGAGTGAACCCCTTTGGATGTGTACGTTAGCTAAGCCGATTTAGATGCCTTATACGCCATATCTGGACCATTTTTCGACCCGACACCTTCCCTTTTGCTATGCTTGAGGTCACAGGATCATCCTAAATAGAAACTTTAGAAACCATTTATGTCGTGAATTCTGCCTTCGAAAGTTGTTGTACGGATGCTTTGGATTTTACCGTGCTCTGTCGCCTCCAGCTCAAAATGGCTCAACTGCGAGCAGCTTAACTTTATCCAGCTATGGCGACATTGATAGTACAGGGATCTTAAAACCGAGTAAATACAGTCTGGCAATAGTAAGTGAGGAAAATTATGATAATAGTCGACCCGACCAGAAATACACCCCGCCGACTATTCAAAAGAGATATCTTTATAGGGCAGAGGTTGTGTAGTGGCAAGTGGCACACTATCTCACACGCACGGTCAGTGGTTCGAATCCCGGATCGATGGCCGCCTAGGCCAACCAAGCCTTCCATCCCTCCGGGTCGATTAACTGATTCCACACTCNGAATGGAAGTCGAGTGCAGGGGCGCATCCCTCAGAGGGGATTGATTAACGCCAAAACTTTTATCTTTTATAGTTGATATCTGATTTGTACGATTATATACTAACAACAGCAATATCATCGTTTATCCAATAGTTAGATAGTGATACAATCAGCACGTTCTCAGAAATAAGAATTGAATTAAGAGATAGGCGAAGAGGAATTCTCAAAAAATACTGAATGAATATCCGTCTAATAAATAAAATAGTAAATCAGTACCTTAAATGCACGGAAATGGTAAACAATGGTCCATGAAAGATTAGGTAATCATAGTATCGGACGATCTTCAAGTTTTATTTATTCAGCAGTGAGATGCATCTACACAGAGTAATTATGTCGCTTGTAGTGGTGCAAGTCGAATCAAAAAGGCACCGGTCGCATGCCTAGGCCTCCCATGCCATGTCGGCCTAAAAAAAAAGACGAAATTAAGCTCGCCTATAGCTATCTCAGTACTTGCTGTCAAACACTTTATTTACTCTACTATCAACTTACCCATGTGACCATATCGTCCCATCATAGGTCCTCCCATCATCGGTCCACGCATGCCCATTGGGCCACCCATAAAACCTCCGGGTCTCCCCATCGATCCTCCATAGCCGCCCATTGGTCCACCCATCATAGGACCTCTCATATGGCCTCCACCCATGTAGCCGCCCATAGGTCCTCCCATCATGTGACCTGGGTACTGTGGTGCCGCTTCACACACTGCCATCACATTCACGATCAGGAAACCATAAAAGATCATTTTCGAAAGATTCTGAAAGCGAAGGGATGAGAACGGGTAAATTCTCCACTTTAAAAGTAAGAAGATTGAGCAGAAGCACAGTACGCAGTCTCCCATGTTTTATATACTCACCGAAGAACGTCGGCTGGATATGTTATGCCCTTTGGCTTGGTATACGGCTAGGTTGTGCCAGCAACTACACCTAGAGCATGTAGGTGACCTCTCTCACATAGCGAACATCCAACTAGGAGCATTTATGATCCCTACCTAATCCCAATCTCTAAGGTCAAAGGGCAAGAGAGTATCTATAAAAGATTAAGGGCATACATTTTGGGGTCCTCGCTCCGGGATGTACCCCGAATTCCATGGAATGGAATAGTGGGCTAGAGTGGAAACTCTGCTGGGCAAATAATGAGCTTGGGTACGACGCTTCTTGTCAGAGTAATAAACAGTTCAGTGCTGTTCTACTTTCAGACAAGTATGGGAGCAGATCTCCCACTTTAAAGGGATGGTGTATTCAGCTTCATGCAAACATCAATCCGAGATCCCATTCTAGGAGTGTGCGCATTATATCGTCAGGGCGACAGTGGTGTAGTGCCATAGAGGTGAGGTAGTGCATTATAAGGGCATGCCCCACCAAAAGATATCACGGTGAAGATACATCGTCCTTCATCTCAAACGCACAGTTCGTCATAATTTTGAGATACCCTTTCCAAGTTGAATGGCGGAAGTGTTGCTGAAGAGTGGTGCGTCGATGGCAAAGAAAGCGAGAAGATCCACCGAATCACTGATAAAATAACGGTTCCCAAACTTGGTGAAAGCAGAGCTTGTAAGAGATAACTATGACGAAAACTTGGAAGGGTATTCGGACGAGATTTCATTTTTTGTTCCAACGCCTTTGGAACTCGTCCGCTCGCGGATGTAGCATGCAGCCGTTACAACCTTTGAATTTTTATAAAGTCTTATTTGGGCAGTTTTCCGATCTGACAGTGCCACATATGGTATACGAGGGACCACGGATTAATGCTAGAAGAATATCTCAGGAACCAATTCTGCCGTGAACTGTGCCTCCGATGGATTGGGTTATCTCTCAGAAATGCTCTTTGCATAAACTCTGTTCAATAGGAACAGTTGTTAGGTGTTGAAGAATGGTGCAGCGCTTCTTCCTTGAGCGCAAGTAAAAGCTAGACGTTTTGCAAAATTGCTCAGGCGGTTGATCAGGAGTAAGCCAATGTTGTTCGAGCAATGTGGATGGATTCTCTTGAGCAGCATGAGGTTTGAGATATTATCAATTTCACAGGAAGTGGTTTGAAGTAGTCAACCTGAGCTCATCTTGCTCAGTTCAGTAACAAAGCGCCTCACACATCAAAAAAGAAGGCGTTAGAAAGGATAGTATCGGAACGCCTCTCAATTGCCTCAGCACCACGCTTTCTGAGGTTCCACTTCTGT